TATGGACCATTCATCGCATCTCTGGTTGGTCTTGGACACTTATGATTTCTTCCAGCTTTTCTTTCATCGGCCCTCTGCACTTCCATACTAGTATATTTTTCATTACTTTTACAATAAGAATGATGGGGTCTAACTTATATAATTGTGACAGGAATGCCATGTCACTTTTTGCTGAATCATTTGTTTAGTGTCTCAATCAACCTTTGCACCCTGTGCTTCTTTTTACAATTGATATTTTCTTAGTTGCTAATCAAACCTTCCAATTTTAGATAAAACAAATCCCTCGTTTCATCATCTGAAATTAGTTTTTATAGACTGGACTTTTGAAGAACTTTGCAAAGCTTTCTTTGTGGGAACGATATCCAGTACTTTTCCATTATTACTTGTTACGAGACGACAGTAGTTCAAGATGTATACTTTCGCCGAGTCCTAATTTTGTGTTGAAATCTAAGGTTGCATAAACCGAACGAGCAAGTTTTGGCGCCGTTTCCGGGGATAACACATTAAAGTTTTTCTTTTTAAAGTAAAGTTTTTAAAAGTTAATTTTTCTACCACCTTTGTGAAAGCACTGTGCATGCCAAGGCTGTCGTACGATGAGTTTTTCCAATTTGATCCGGATATCGAAAAAACTTTCAGACAAAAAAGAAGAGCGCAAAGAGCTATGCGAGCTTTAACATCTAAAACAATGGTGCCACCCATTTTTCAGTTAAACCACTGATGTTTCAAATGTTGCAAACTAACGGCCAGTATGTTGGTTTACCGTCTGAAGTTCTTCATTCTCATCTGCGTTCTTTTATGGAAATCACATATTCTTTTCTCATCCTTGATGTTTCCGACGATGCTCTGAGACTAAAACTTTTTCCATTTTCACTAAGGGATCGAGCAAGAGCATGGTACAATTCATTGCAACCAGACTCTGTGACAACATGGAATGAAATGGTAGAAAAATTTCTAAGAAAATATTTTCCAGAGGAATGTTAAGTACAGGAATGAAATTTGTACTTTTAAATAACTGGATGATGAAGCAGTTCCTGATGCATGGGAAAGGTATAAAGAGCTGCTGAGAAAATGCCCTCACCATGGCATTCCGTACTATATATAGCTAGAGACATTTTACAATGGCTTAAATGTCGTTGCTAGACAAATGCTCGATGCTACTGCAGGCGGAGCTTTCACAACTTGTACCTATAATGAAGGTTTTGACATACTTGAAAAGATTTCTAACAGTAACGAACAATGGTCTGATCCACGTGCAATGCCACTAAAGAAAACAATTGGGATAAATAAGGTAGATATTGTTTCAGCATTAACAGCTCAGATCACTAAGCTAATTTCAAATCTGAGATCTAGCCTACCTGTGCAATCTGAAGCTAACACCTTTAATCCCAATGTTCAATCTGTGCAATGTGTGTACTGTGGTGAATGTCACTCTTTTAAGCATTGTCCTAAAAATCCTGAACATGTAAATTTTATGAACAGGACTGGACCATTTTCACAGACTTATAATCCTGGATGGAGAAATCATCCAAATTTTTCATGGCATAGTCCAGCTCTTAACCCGCCAATGCAAAAGTCACAAGGACAGTCCAATTTTCCACCACAAGGACAATCCAATTTTCAACAACAAGGCCAATCTATTTTTCACACTCAAACGCATTGTTAGCTCAATTATTCCTATTTTGTAAAAGTATAGAAAAAGTATACTGCAAGTCTTGACAGAAGGATAACTCCACAGAAGACAACAGAGGACTAAGCGACAGAAGCCGTTTGATCGAACAAGTGAAGTATGATAGAACCTCTGATTCTCTCACAGAGGTTCTGGAAAATAGTCGTATGTCAAATAGAACATGCAAGTCAATTACAGCAGAGCCTCTGAGATGGCTCACAAAGGGTCTGCAGATTTCGTCTTCTGTGAAGTTTCTGTTCCAACAGTTTTCAAAGGTTGTTAGCCGCATATGCTTCTCACGTGACTAGGGAATAATCGACTTTATTTGGACGGCTCAGATGAAGACACGCGTCAAGATCTAGTCTCTAAGGTCGTTAGGAACTAGTATAAATAGAGGATAGGATCTTTGTAATCGGTGCTTCCCGTATTGTAATCATCAAATTTTCAATTGAATTGATTGAAAAACCTTTGAAGCAATTCTCCTGCATTCATCTTCTTCCTCATTTAGACTGTGTGTTCTTGGTGTATTTACTCTGTTTTGCTCTTATTAATGTTTCCGCTGCACTTCAATTGTTTTTAGAGCTTATCTAGAGTATTAGATCAATATCAAAGTTGAATTTCAGATCCAACACGCATCAAGGCACTCATAATAATCAACATGCTAATTTTCAACCACAAATTCATCAATCTTCTTTCCAAAACAAACCCAAACAGCAAGCCCAATCATCTACTTCCTTGGAAGCAATGATGAAGGGTTTTATAACCCAAACTCATGCATCAATTAAAAATCTTGAAACTCAAATGGGACAAATGGCTTTGGAGATAAGAAAAAGACCAGTAGGTTCTCTACCTAGTGATACAGAGATACCTCAGAGGGAAGGAAAATAGCATGTTAAGGTTGTTACTTTAAGGAGTGTAAAGACTTTATTAGAAAATACCCAAAAAGAACAAAAAGAACCAAACAAAGCAGAGATTGAAAAGAAAAGTATGGTACAAGATTCTGTTACCTCAATACCAGATTTTGTTTCTACCATTCCTATGAACCAGTCAGCCAACCCATAGTTAGGCCCATCGATAGTATAACCATTCCAGAAAGATCATAATTTTCATTGTTATTTCCTGATGCACCCAATATAATCCAGACTCCCAATGAAAATATTGTAGTGAATGTGTCACAATCTGGTGACAGTCCCACAATAGATGTCCAAACCAGTCCTATAATCCCTTGTAGAACTGAATCAGAACCCATTATAAAACCAGCTTTGAAACCCATTCCAACACCTACTCTTCAAAAGACTACTTCTCCTATTGCAGTCACTCCTTATATTCCTTATCCCCAAAGATTAAGGAATCAAAAGGAATAATTACAATTTAAAAAATTTCTTGATGTTTCTAACAGTTACATATAAACATACCTTTGGTTGAAGATATTGAGCAGATGCCAAGTGATGCAAAGTTTCTAAAAGACATTTTGAGTAAAAAGAAAAAGTTGACTGAGTATGAGACTGTAGCTCTGACTGAAGGGTGCAGTGCTCTGTTGTCCAATAGAATCCCTCCTAAGCTGAAAGATCTTGGAAGCTTTACAATCTCTTGTTCAATTGGAGGAAAAGAAATAGGAAAAGCCCTATGTGACTTAGGTGCTAGTATAAACCTTATTCCTTTATCTGTCTTCAATACCCTAGGCATAGGTGAAGCTAGACCCACCACTATAACTCTACAATTAGCTGATAAGTCCATAGCTTACCCTAAAGGAAAGATTGAGGATGTCCTAGTTTAGGTTGATAAGTTTATTTTCCCAGCTGATTTTATCATCCTAGACTTTGAAGCTGACAAAGACATTCCCATTATCTTAGGGAGACCTTTCCTAGTTACTGGAAGAACCCTGATAGACGTACAGAAGGGAGAATTAACCATGAGAGTCCAAGACCTACAAGTGACTTTTAATGTTTTTAATTCCCATAGGTACCCTAAAGAAAGAGAAAAATGTTCTACTTTAAGTCTAATAAAAACTTGGTGTCAAGAGAAAAGTTTGGGGGAAATCTTAGGTCTATCTGAGTCTGATAGTGATGAAGAGGAAGATTTTGAGGAAGTAGAAACACCACAAGACTCTGCTGCTTTTGAAGTTTTAGAAACTGAGGATAGGAAAACTCTTGTTCCTTCCTTAGATGTTGCACCAGACCTAACATTTGAAGTATGCCTTTTTAGGAGATTTAGAGAAGTTGTCAGTCATTATTTCATCATCATTAGAAATTGACCAAGAGGAAAAGTTGATTGACATGTTGAAACTTCATACCAAGGCAATAGGATGGACCATTGGTGACCTCAAAGGGATAAGTCCCACCATTTGTCAACATAAAATTATTTTAGAAGACAAAATTTCACCTTCGTTGAGCCTCAAAGAAGGCTAAATCCTGTCGTGAAGGAGTTTGTCAAAAAGAAACTTTTAAAATGGCTCGATGCTGTCATAATTTATCTTATTGCGAGTAGTACATGTGTCAGTTCTGTGCAATGTGTACCCAGAAAGGAAGGAGTCACTGTTGTACCAAATGAGAAAAATGAACTTATACCTACTAGAACAGTAACTGGTTGGAGGATATGTATGGACTATAGAAGGCTTAATAAAGCCACTCAAAAAAGACCATTTTCTATTACCCTTCATACACCAAATGTTAGATAGACTAGCAGGAAAAAAGTTTTATTGTTTCTTAGATGGCTACTCCGGTTACAATCAAATTTCCATAGCACTAGATGACCAGGAAAATATTACTTTCACATGTCTGTATGGAACTTTTGCTTTTAGAAAAATGCCTTTTGGACTTTGCAATGCTCCTGCCGCTTTTCCTAAGGTGTATGATGTCTATTTTCTCTGATATGTTAAAGTACTCCATGAAAATTTTCATTGATGATTTTTCAATCTATGGGACATTATATGACCTATGTTTACAAAACCTTGAAAAAAGTCTTAAAAGATGTGAAGAAACATATTTGGTTTTAAACTGAGAAAAATGTCATTTTATGGTAAAAAAGGCATAGTGTTAGGACATTTAATTCCAAAAGAAGCATTGAAGTTGATAAAGCAAAGTTAGAGGTAATTGAAAAATTTCTTGAACCAACAACTGTAAAGGGAATAAGAAGTTTTTTGGAACATGCAGGTTTTTATAGGAGGTTTATTAAAGATTTTTCAAAAATATCAAAACCTCTTCATTTATTATTACAACATGAGCATGTTTTCAATTTTAATGAAGATTGTCGAAAGGCTTTCAACATTTTAAAAGAAGCATTGGTCACTGCTCCTGTGGTAATAACACTTGATTTGTCCAAACCTTTTGAAATAATGTGTGATGCCAGTGACTGGGCAGTTGGAGCCGTTTTAGGTCAAAAGAAAGAAAATATTTTTCATCCTGTTTATTATACAAGCAAAACTTTTAATGATGCTCAGATCAATTACACCACTACTGAAAAGGAATTATTAGATGTGGTTTTTGCTTTTGAAAAATTCAGATCCTACTTGATGGGAACCAAAGTGATTGTTCATACTGATCATGCTGCCATTAAGTATCTTGTTTCCAAAAAAGACGCAAAACCAGGGTTAATAAGGTGGGTCTTGCTTTTTGCAAGAATTTGATTTGGAAATCGTTGATAGAAAAGGGGTGGATCATCAAGTGGCTGACCATCTGTCAAGATTAGAAAACAAGACAAACCATTACAAGGTAGTGACATCTGTGAAGTATTTCCAGATGAAAGAATTTTGGTTCTTCAGCATACTATAGTACCTTGGTTTGTTGATCTTGTTAATTACTTAGCTTGTGGGATTATTCCCAAAGAATTTAATAAATATCAAAGAAAGAAGCTCATCTATGATTCAAAAAATATTTATGGGATGACCCTTTCTTGTTTAAAATATGTGCATATCAGGTGATCAGAAGATGCATCTCAAAAGAAGTAACATCAGTTCTATGGCACTGCGATGCAGGACCTTATGGATGACATTTTGGAGAAAGTAGGACAGCATCCAAAGTTCTACAATCAAGACTATACTAACCTACTTTGCATAATGATGCTCATAACTTTTTGTAAAAAGTTGCAATGAGTGTCAGAGAAGTGGAAATATCTCTGGAAGAAATCAAATGCCTTTAAAAGGAATTCTAGAATAGAATTATTTGATGTTTAGGGTATATACTTTATGGGACCTTTTTCTCTATCCAATAATTGTGTCTACATATTGGCTGCTGTGGACTATGTGTTCAAATGGGTGGAGGCTATGGCTTGCCATTCCAATGATGCTAAAACAGTTTTCAAGTTATTACAAAAGCACATATTCACTAGATTTAGTACACCTTGTGCCTTAATTAGTGATGAAGGCACTCACTTCATAAACAACTTGTTAGAAGAAGTTCTTGACAAGTATGACATCAAGCATAGGGTAGCAACTGCCTACCATCCTCAGACCAATGGATTGTCAAATAGGGAGAAAAAAGGGATTTTGGCCAAAGTAGTCAAACCACATAGAAAAGATTGGGCCTCTAATTTAGATGATGCTTTACGGGCCTATCGGACTGCCTACAAAACCCCTATTGGTATATCTCCCTACAAATTGGTCTTTGGAAAAACATGTCATTTACCCGTAGAACTGGAGCACAAAGACTATTGGGCTATTAAGGAGCTTAATATGAATTTAGATGAGGCCGGGAGAAAAAGAACCCTGTAACTCTGTGAACTTGAAGAACACAAGAATTTTTCTTATGAAAATGCTAAATTATACAAGGAAAATACAAAAAAAAAAGGCATGCTAAAAAGATTCTTCCAAAAGAGTTCATTCAATGTCAAAAAGTCTTGTTGTTTAATTATAGGTTAAAGCTATTTCCTAGAAAATTAAATTCCAGATGGACTGGACCTTTCGTTGTTGCCAAAGTATACCCCTACGGAGTAATTGATTTGATAGATCCAGAAAGGGGTACTACTTTCAAAGTAAACAGACAACGGGTAAAACCTTTCTTTGATTCCATGGTTCTTACACACCTGTTGAGGTTATTTTTCTGAAATAATAGTTCGTTGTAAATATTAGTTTATATATATATGTATATATGTATATATGTATATATATTATTTTATTTTTCACTTTACATTTTTGTTTAAATTTAATTTTAATTTTTTAGATAAAACTTTAGTTTTTATTTTTCTTTATTTTAAAATAATTATATGTTTCTTTTATTGTCTCTAAGTTATTTGTATTTATTTTAATTTTACTTATCTTTATTTAGAATTTGTGTAAAAAAGTTTTGGGCTAACCTTATTAGTTTTTGGGCCAAAGAACGATTCAAACAACCTGCGACCCATATCTTTCTTATTCTTATTGCTAAACAGGCCTGACTAAGAAGAAGCCAAATTCAAAGCCTGCGTTTGATACAGCTCGTCTTAGAGCCCAAGTTTTGTGCCGGTCTAGTCCGTTAGCTGTCCCTTCGTCTTCAACCTCTCAACTCTCTCAGTCTCAATGTACTCTCCATCGTACGAAGTAACATATGCAACAGCTCACCCAAGCCACATTTTCAAAGAGATAAGACTTAATCAATCCGACGCCTGAATACACTACTAAGCAAGGTACGATTTTTGAGTAGTCAACCACTTCGTCCGATAACTGTCAATCATCTAAACAAAGTTTGAACTTTTAAAACCCAAATCTTGGAGAAGAAGCATAGCAACCTTAAAACCTGTTTATTCACTTTACATGCACCATTTGCATCCCTTATAAGCCACTGTTCACCAAAAATTTGCCAAACCCCCTGTTAGTCATCACCATTCCCCTGTTTCACCCAAATGACCATTATCAAGTCACGACCACGAAGAAGAGAGGGAGATTCTGAAATAATGCTTCCTACAAACAGCTAGGGTTCTGAAAATCAGTCCAGTGCCAGTGAAGAAGAGCCTATTGATGCTATACCCCTTAGATAGGTTCCTTTTGGTGAACCAAAATCTCAACCTCGACCTCAAACCCAAACTCAACTTCAACCTCAATCTAAGCCTCAATCTCTACCACAACTCCAACTACAACCACAACCTCAGCCGCAAATGTTACTACTCGAATGACCAGAAGCAGAGCTAAGGGAACGACAAATTTTAAACCTTTCAAGCAAAAGAAAGTACTATGATCTCTCTATCCGATGACAGTGATTACCTAAAGAGAAGAATGCCACACAAGCCAGTGAAATCAAAACAACAAGAAATGATTCTACTTCTTTGAACACTCTGGCAGAAGCTGCTAGCTCACAAATGGTCACACCACAAATCTCTCCTAATATCACAACAAGACTCCAGGCAGGTTTGCGTATCACTCGACCCTTGACTATGGATTTATTGTCTAGCTTCCCTCAATAGCCTCAAGCCATTATTGGCATTATGTTGAGGAAGTCTGTGGATGAGGCCATCACAGCCTCTAATGAAGTATTAGGACTTAGAAGAACATCATGTGCCCCCGCTGTCGCTATGGTCCAGGTTGAACCATCTATGGCTGCCAAAACAACAAAAAAGGGAAATTCATCCCTTAAACAATCTGTTAGTGAGGCCTTGGAATCCATGGATAGGATGATTAGAATGGAACCTTCCATTGATCAAACCTTTACCAATGCACTGATTGAAGCCACCCCTGCACCACAATATGTTAAAACCACACCCATTGAACTAAATTTCATGAAAGCACCAAACATTGAACCAATTTCTGTTACATCAACCACTGTGGAACCAATTCCTTTTGAGCCAACCCATTTTGAACCTGTTAACCCTTCCCAAACAGCTGTTGAACCTACCTTTGTTGAAACAACAACCATTGAACCAACACCTATCACTATCAACCCAATCCCTGAACCCATGGAAACCACCATCACTAAGCTTATACCTACTGAAACTATAACCCCTTTACCACCCACTGTCTCCATGCAAGAAATTGATTTTGCTTTAGGCCTTGCACCCTCAATTCCAACTTTAACACCCCAACACCTACAGAAAACCCCTCTGAACCCCATAATGAACCTGTTATTCCATTACCACCACCTTCATCACAATCTACCCAACCCTTTGTACCTATCCCTACTATACCTTTGTGACAGCTGGTCAAGATAATATGGAACCCCACAGCCCATTCAATTCTGAAACCCATGACTATTATGAAGGGGCACATTATGTTCATCTTAGTCCTGTGCACAGTAGCCATCATAATGAACAAGAAAGGGAGGACCATGACACTAGTGCTAGTTTGAAAAGGAAAGCAACAAGGAAAAAGGGAATGGCTAGAGTTGAAACAAGAAGCACAAAGAGAAGAAGGGTGATTAGTGAGCAGTCTGATGAGGAGGAAGAGACTGCTAGAATAGCAAGAAAGAAGAAAAGTCCAGGGTAGTAGTTTGATGATGGGCTAGGTATTTATTTACAGCTCAAGTATTTGTTTAGCACACCTTTGGCAAGAAAAATTTTCTTGCAATTTTTTGAAAAAGTTGGGGTTGTGCCTAAGGGCTTTTCACAACAACTACTATTGGCCAATCCCTCCATTAAGGAAACTATAGATACTTGGGGATGAGAAATCTTGTGTGAAGTACCTAACCAAACATAAGCTGGGTTAGAGAAGTCTACATTGAGGTGGCTGTGACTGATGGGGTAGATTTGAGAGTTAGAAAAACCCCTATTTTCTATTCACCCAAGTTGATTTCACATAGACCACCCTCCGGGATTTAGATAAACAAGAGGTGGCCATGGAGGCCCTAGCTTAGACAGGTTCAGGGTCGGGAAGAGGCCCCAACAATGAGATGCCGACACCCAGTCATCCGAGCCAACAAAGACATCTTTCTTTGTTAGGAAATGGGTAAGTAGATGTGGTAATAGACTTTGTTTTACATAATAAAATGATATAAATGTCTTTTGTGTTATAAATATTTTTTTAATTGTACATTTTTAAAGATGCCCATGTTATCCGGGAGATGACGGTTATATTCAGGTCTTCATTTTTTGGTCCATGACATAGATGGAAGGAAGTCCCTCAGGAAGCCCACAACTTGATGTTCCAGCGCTTTCGAGTTGGTGTACCATTTTAATGTAATTATACATATAAGGTTATTATTTTTACATTTATACAAATATTGTGTATGTAGGCTTAGTTTCAGTGGGAACCAAAGTTGGATGACATGGTTCATGATTTATGGACAAAAGCCATGCACAATAGGTACTCAGATTGGATGAGCGTTGCACGTGACTGAGCTGTGGCACAGGCCTATGCCGGTTCTCAGCAATGGGACGGTGAGTACTTCTCATAGATTAGATTACACCGTCTTGTATGGATCCTAGAGAGGTTTTGGCTTTAGATGATTGACCATGTATGTATCTCTATTGACTATTGTGAGCTTTCTGAAATGCCATGTGTTTTGTACCACCTTGTATATGTGATCTAATTTTAACAGGTTTGGGATACCGAGCCTTGGAAAAGGAAATCCAGGATCAATAGGGCTAATCAGAACACACAGTTTGAGGGGGTGTCGTCCAAACACACCGGGGGATCGATCAGTACTGCACAACATCGAGACAGGATGGTGAATATATAATCTTTTAAAAAATATGTAATTCATTCTCTATGTTTACTAACAACTTAACCTAATTGTCTAATATAGGCAAAACTAATGGGTCGTGAGCTAAAAGCTACTAAGGTGTTTGAGCGCACTCACTACATAAACTGGAAGTTCGATCAACGTTCGTCCGACTCGCCTACCGATCCTCCTTAGTTCAGTTACCCCAAAGCTGCTAGGTATCATGTATTTCTAAAACCATTACTTTGGTTAATAGATACGTTTGGTAGGTTTAGGGTAATATATTTTAATAAACATAATGTTGCTATTAGTTTGGGCTGCCATTGTTGGGCAGACGTTAGGCTAAGTAGATAGGTTGAGAATGTGACTGCCATTCGTATTATTAGAATTTTTTAATTATTAAAAATAAGCATTGGATATGTTTGATTTACACCCGTTATGCTGCTAAAATTTCTACATATATAACATCACCCGTATTTGTTTTGGTGAACCATATGAGCGATTTCAATCCCTGATGAGGCATCTCTTTGGGAGCAGAGTGTCGGAGGACGGAGGAAGGACCGCATCTTTGGTTTCGGTACCTCCCAGGATCCCTCTTATGCTATGACAAGTAGATGGAGCAGTCGCACCAGGAGATCATACGAGTCAAGAGCGGAGGTATGTTGGTTATATTGTTATATACTTTTTCATTACTAAAATTGAGAACAAATTATTGATTTTTTCAAATATTGAGTATTTACAGGTAACGGATTTGAGGGAGAAGTTGGCAAGGGTGGAGGAGGAACTGGAGACTGAATGCAAGAATATGACAGATTTGGAGGCCAAACAAACTGCCTCGTTAGCTGAACAGGCCAAACAAGCTGTTGCGTTAGCTAAACAGGCCGCCTTATCGGAGCAATTTTGCTACATTTATATTGCAGTCAAGATACGTTCCCCCCACCTCCCGGTAGTTAGATTTATGAATTTGAACATTAAGTTGTATGAATTGGATATTTAATTTGTATGAATTAAATATTTTAAATCAGATGAATTGGTTTTTTTTAATTTGTTCACAATTTTGGTTTGTTATATTATGGCCAGGTTTTGTATAAATAAATACATGAATTATGTAATCATAAAAAAATATATTTAGATTAATAAACATTAG